GGGTCCTTCTTTTGAAGCCTGTGATGGACACATAACATCTCTATACAAAGAGTGTAATTTATCTAGTGTTTTCTAAATCTCTTATATAATATATATTGTCTCATGCCCATAAACCATATCGTCAGAATAATCCTTATGCATTTCAGATAAGTTATCAAGTTTTATTCCGAGATCCATAATAGTTGTTAAATAAAAAATAAATAGCATATTTTCAAAACATTTCTTAAACTTACGCTCATATCCCTTATGCAAACTGTAAGAAAGCCATGAGTTCTATATTCTGCAATAATTCAGCAATATTATTAAGATGATAAAAAAAGTAAATGAATAAGAGAATACTGAACTCCAAAAAGTGTTATAGTTGCAGCATCAAACTTTTCGAGGAACTGGCAGAAAACTGAATTAAAATTCCACTCGTGACCTGCCATGGAAAGATTAAATAGATGTTCACGTTCAATAAATGTATCGGCGACTTTTTGGTAAGGGATGACATCATTGAGCATTTTGTAAGTAGAGTTTCATCGTGTCTTAACATTAATCTCAAGAACTTAACTCCTTAATCCTTAAACAACACATCTTCTTAAAAGACTATTTTCTTGAACCACTGCCTCTCACAAAAGTGAGGAACCATTTTAGTTTCTATAAATGTTAATCAAAAAATTTCATTCCATTCTGCACAAAAAAGTGAATGATATGGCAAACATATCTAATATAGAAAAAATTATCCCTCCTTATTAAGTTCAAAATTTCTTACTTTTAAAATTGCCAGCAATGTTCTCTAAATCATTGTTAAGATATAGAAATGTTCTCTCTCTATCTCATAGTCACGACATGCTTGTGAAATTGCATCACAAACACATTCTGCATTAAACGGATATTCAAACCCTCATGAATGACAAAGTTCTTTATGCAAAATCCAATTTTCATTAATATAATGTGAAGTAACTCAAATATAGTAATTGTGATTGAGAGACTTCCCGACATCAGAAGTCAAAGCTATCTTGGCGGCTATAATAGGTAAAGTAGCTTGCATGATAGTTTTTTAGCACAGAAAAAACATTTAGTTTCTCTTGTAACTGTTCTTCTGCTAATTTTTGATATTCTGAACAAAAAGTAGTTTTAATATATTTTTCAAAAAAATTATCTTCAGTAATACTAAAAGAAAGTTCAGCTTGCATAATAAATTTAGCTAAGTTTTCCTTAGCGAGTTTGAATTTATACCTAATGTCGATAACCCACATTTACCTCCAACAATTTACGATTGAATTTTCTCTTTTCCACCATCCAGAAGTTCTCGGTGTTTATTTCTCAAATGCCAATATAATGATCATGTTCTGTAATTTTTCCCAAATTTGTGGGTCTTTTTGGCATTCTAAACAAAGTGTTGATCTGTTGCCAACCGTATTTAGAAATTTTCAAAAAAAAAGAAGCCAAACCCATGAAGTATCTTCTGGTTTTTTCCATTTGTTAGGAGCTGTTTGTTTTGTTCTATTCTAGTTATTTGTTCTTCAGTTGCCTCTCCAAAACTTCAGCCTCTGAAGATTGAGAAGTCAGAGATGGGCGTTGAGGAGCCAGTCGAGGTGAAGGATAAGAAGAAATAAAATCTCGTTATGACAGAATCGGGTGGTAGCGACCCATACAATTGTTGTCATTCCTTTAGAGAAAGTGAAATAGTGTTTAAAAGTGGAGTCTAGAGGTGCAATACTTGTGGTTACTGATGGATAGGTAAAGGAAATGGTACTGGTCGGATCAACAATGTAGTCGGAGGGAGCAAAAAGATAGTAGGAATCGCATGATGCATCATTGATTTGGCCACTACTACGATCACCGGCTTCATGAGAATAGTTTTGAGAATGTGAGAAAGGTGTATACCCACTTCCACTGACAACGGATGGGAAAGAGAGGGTATTCCAAGGAGGATAAGTAGGGAGAATATTGTCAAGAAGATGAGTAATGATCCATTAAATAAGGAGAGATTTTTTAAAGCAAACTTTTAAGTGTGTACAATTTTGTAATCAGAATGAGTAGTTTTGATTATGAAAAGATGAGTTAGATTGATAGAATAAATTGTGAGATACGAGAAAAAAATGATTCCTATTATAGCACAGGAACAGTTCTGTTGACTTCATTAAAAACGGTCTGTACTGAATTCAAAATTTGAAACCCAACATTGATTGAGGTCTCTAATACTGACTTGAAATAAATAAAAATAATTTAAAAACGGATTTGACAAAAAGTTAAAGAAACAAGGAGAAAGACTGAAAGAGTCATTTGCTCTCATTTTAGCAATCAGATGTTGCTCACTTTTTAGTAATCAGATGCCTATAAGATAGCTTTCTTTTTAGCATAAAGCAATTTAAGGCGGGCCCCAACCTACTAGGCAGCGGGTCAGGCATGCACTATTGCAGGCTACAGTAGGATCCTGCTGCTAATTGCGCTGCTAGCTTGTTGGCAACAAGCCAGCCTTCAGGCTGCGACCTAGTATGGCTAGCTGGTAGCA